ATAAAAACAATCTTTCTAGAAAATTAGAAGGTAGGAAAAGGGAGTAGACAATTTTTTAAATCCTTTTAATCTTCTCCATAATTCTAAAAGGCATTAAAATCCTCATCTTTATAAGATAAATAGTGTTGCTGAAAAATCACTACTTTTGCGGGGGTGGGGTGGGTAAGCCACTTAAATAACCTGTTTGCATTGCTAAAATACTTCATATATAGGAATTTTTAAGGAATTCAGTTAATGGCATATTAGCAATCATTATAGCCCTGGCTGGCATGGCTCAGTGGATTGAGTGGCGGCCTGCAAACCAAGAAGGTTGCCAGTTTGATTCCCTATCAGAACACATGCCTGGGTTGTGGGCCAGGTCCCCAGTTAAGGGTGTGTGAGATTGATATTTCTCTCATATATGGATGTTTCTCTCCCTCTCGTTTACTCTCCTTTCGCTTCTCCCTTAATGTAATCTTTTTAAAAATGAGAGAAAAAAATAGCAATCAATTACAAAGGCAATAATGTCTTTAAGAAATTTAAGACCACAAGTAAAAATAAATGCTGCATAAATCATGATAAGCTCTTACAGGACAAGGAGGCTGTGGAAAAGGGATACCAGATATCAGAACCACCCAGGGAGCTTTTTCCACAAAACACATGCCCAAACCATCCTCAACCTGAATCATAATTTCTAAACTAAAATATAAATACACATATGTAAAGTGTCTATATAGTTACGACACTAACTTCCCTTTTAACAATTCCTATTGCCATTGGAGAATAATGAACTAGATTTATCAATCATATTAATAGAGGAAGATAATTAAAAAGTACAGAGTGATTTTGTGCGTGGACAAGGCAGGATTATAATGAATGACCTCATGCCTGGAATTGAGACAAGAACCCAATTATCAATGGAATCACTGTGAGAAAAAGGAAGAAACGTGGGGAAAGGCTGTTTTTTGCTGTTTCTTTTAAAAATAAGTCATAAAGGGGGGTACCTATAATCATATAGGAGAAAAGCCCATCGAGAAATATAGTTTTTATGCGTATAACAGTGATTCTAAATACAATTTAAACCAGAAAGGACACAATCATTGCTTGTTTTGAGGATACAGTCTAAGCACACATAACAAGACACATACAAGTAACATTTACAAAGACAATTTCATATAGTTTTCAAACTTGAAAGAACTTTTTATATTTATATTGGGAAGATAATATGAATAAGGGTGAAATAAAAATCGTATGGGAGGAGAAGACCAGATGAAAAGAAAGGAGATAGTTTTGACTGAAGAAAGCCTAGGAAAGGAGTGTGCGTCTCAGGATCTTTTCAGACTGCCAACCTGAGGTCCGCTCAACAAAGACGGACGTAGATTAAGGGATGAGGGCGGCCCAGGTATGGGATGATGGTACACTATGTCGTCACTGCTTTGGTGTCCAATATGTCTACTGTTCCTGAATCGACACAATCTCAAAATTCCATTAAGCATACATACACCCAAAGCAGAGTCCCCTAAAAGTTAAAAGAAAATGTAACCAGTAGACAACACGTCCAGAAAATTATCAAAATCTCAAGATTTTGATGCAAGGCATTTACTTGTTAATGTCAGAGAGTTCAAAAAATACAATCAGCAGCACTACTATTTATTAAGTGCTTTTTGGACTACGGTAAGCAACTTCCATGTGTCATATCACATGTAATCAGTACAGCCATGCTATGAGGAGGGTGGTTACAATCCATATTTCACAGATGAGAGAACTGAAGCTTCCAGAAAAGCAGCAGTTTGCCTAAAGCCACATAGCTGCAGAGACAGGAAGTAAGGCTAGGTCTGATACCAGAGTCTGAGCTAGAGTCTATACAGTATTTTAAACTCAAAATAGTAAGTACTTTCAGATGTTTAGAGTATATAACACAACAAAATGTGTCCGAAGTAAAATTTCAAATATGTAATTATACCAAAAAGATGGGAGGGATTTCAACAATATCACTAAGTACAATAGGTCTAAGTAAAAGCATGTAATTAAACAGCTGTTATAAACTGATGGTGAGCTCCAGCTGGTGTGGCTCAGTGGACTGAGTGCCGGCCTGTCACCAAAGGGTCACCAGTTCAATTCCCAGTCAGGGCACATGCCTGGATTGAAGGCCGGATCCCCAGTAAGGGACATGTGAGAGGCAATCACATGCTGATGTTGCTCTCCCAGTCTTTCTCCCTTCCTTCCCCTCTAAAAATAAATAAATAAAATCTTTAAAAAACAAAACAAAACAACTGATGGCTAGTTAGAGTAGACGACAATATAATTCAAAAGTCTACTTCAGAAATATTATTGGTAAGCTTCAGATACAGACAAGAGAAATCAAGCAAGGGTACCAATAACAATAATACCAATATCCAGAAAGTTATTATAAAGCTTTGAAAGAAGAAAGCTCAAACAGTTTGATTCTTTCATGCTAAAGTAAAATATATTCATTAAACATAGAGGGGGTGGGGAGGTAGAGGTACATCCAATGTTCTCAGATTTCCAAGAATAAGTCCCTCTAATCTGTTCATTGGTGGGGCTGCCAGCAATACTACTCTTCTTGGCAGTTCATACAGATAAGCAGAAATGAGACACTGGAGTCTTTAGAGGTCTGAGCACACATCTAACAGGACATGCATGGGCCCCCGCCTTCCATGAAAACAGAGCTATTCTGCCCTGGCTGGTGTCGCTCAGTGGACTGAGTGCTGGACTGCGAAGTTCAATTCCCAGTCAGGGCACATGCCTAGGCTGCAGGCCAGGTCCCCAGTAAGTGCCCAGTAGGGGGCACACGAGAGGCAACCACAACATTGAGGTTTCCCTCCCTTTCTCCTTCCTTTCCCCTCTCTCTAAAAATACATACATACATACATACATACATACATACATACAATCTTTTAAAAAAACTTTAAAAACGAAAAAAAAAAAAAAACAACAGAGCTACTCTGCCTTCATGAACTAGTAAAAAGGTCCCAATTTACAGAACCCCATTAGATATTCCTATAGGTAACTATGGTAAGTCAAAGCAAGGAGGTCAAAGTTCCAAGGTTCTCCAGAACCTCAGGCTTCCAAATTAAGACAATCACAGATAAACAACTCTTCTTCCTGCTCCCCGTGGCACCTGCAGGCCTATACAAATTCAAATATATTCTGTTTTTAAAATATAGAATATAGGCATTAAAAGAGAAGGCTGATAAAACTATTTGTAAGGAAATGCCTTTCCCTTTACACTATGTAAAGGTAGTATTTGGAGACAAAATTTTAGAATTCAAAAAGGTAATGGAGCAAGATGATGTTCACCTCTAATCATATAAGAGGTAAAGAATTCAGAGACTATCCATAAAGATAGGGACTAGAGTCATATTGAAATGGCATTCCATTATAATTTTTTCAATATAGAAGGGATCATTTTTACACCTGTGTAGGAAGCAATCTATGTATAATCGGTGCTCAATAAAAATTAACACAAGCCCATACTAGTAAGCTTTCATAATAAAAAACAGAACAGCTATGAAATACATAGTTTTAAAAAGCTTCTTGGAAGCACGGTTAATTCAGAAAATCCATGGAGCCCTGACCAGTATGGCTCAGTTGGTTGGGCATCATTCCGCAAAGCAAAGGGTTGCTTTGCCTGGGTTTTGGGTTCGGTCCCTGGGGTGCACACAAGAAGCAACTGATCAACGTTTCTCTCTCATATAGATGTTTCACTCCCTCTCTTTCTTTCTCCCTCCCTTCCCCTCTAAAAAATAAATTAAATTAAAAAATAAATAATTTAAAAAAAACCACTACTGGAGATTTAGAAAATAGCAAAGGACACTACATTAAATACCTTTTATTTGAAAAAGAGTCAAAGGATATAAAGCGGATGATTAAAGAGTGAAAAGCACTGTTTCTCTGAAAATGTAGACAAAGGAGAAAATGAAAAAGAAACAATGAAGGCATAAAAATGAGTAGAAAATAATGCATACTGGTGAAGATACATATATAGGGCTAAATAGGTAACTTAGAAAAATATTAACTTGAAAAACTGAAGAGAAAAATAAATTTATAAACACGGAAATCAAAAAAAACAAAGAACACAAAATTAACACCTAAATCGCAGTATAGCATGAAAATGTTATGTATATGTCTCATCAAGGAGATCAAAGGATGTGTATGGGTCCAGCATGTATGTGTGCCTGGAAACATTCAAAGCTTTCACATTCCTGAGCAAAGAAGAGAGGTTTCCAGTAACACTCAGAACTACAATAATAGAAAACTGTCCTTAGGAAAGTATAACGAGAAGGTATAATGACTAAGGGAGCATCCACTGAGTCTCTATGACTTCTGAGATCTAAATTTGAGACTCTTTAGTGCTGGTAGGAAACCAGCAAAGTAGAAGCTCTAGGAGACTGCAGCCTTAATGGAGAACTAGGTTATATGGAAGTTAGAAAATACAGGTTAACAAGTGAACAAGAGTTCTCTTTCTTGAGATTAAAAATATTTTTAGGGGTGGGGGTGGGATGGGTGTAGGAGGGTAAAGGGGGAAAAGCTGAGACAACTGTAATAGAATAAACATGACTTAAAAGTTAAAAAAAAAAAAATAAAAATAAAAATAAAAATATTTTTAAAAGCAGCCCTGGTCAGGTGACTCCACTGCTTGGAGCACTGTCCTGTACACCGAAAGGCTGCAGGTTCGATTCCCAGTCAGGGCACAAACCTAGGTTGCTGGTTCCATGACCAGAAGGGGGTGCATACAGCATGTATGGGAGGCAAATAACAGATGTTTCTCTCTCACATTGATGTTTCTCTTTCTCTTTCTCTCTCTCTCTCCCCAACCCCTCTCTTCTAAAATCAATAAACATATCCCTGGGTGAGGAAAAAATAAAATAAAAAAGAAACAAAAATATAGACACATCAAGAAAACCTATCCCTAGTTAAAAGATATGCGCTTCCCATTTGGCTTCTCGCTACGAGACGTGAGTCACCCGTGCTCCCCTTTGCCCTTGAGGACCACCTACCATGCGGTAACGTTATGTTGGCCCCGTCAATGATTGCTTGTGCCAGTTCATGATCATTGCTCTCGAAAGCATGTGCTGCAGCCTTCAAGGCATCCCAAATCTCTTTACGGCCTTCAAAAGCTGGTGCAGTATCCCAGAATTCATCCCTCTTGCTGCGCAGTTGTCCATCTGTCATGGGATAATCGCTTTTCCATTTGGGTTTCTCCTTTTTCAGAGGCTGGTTGCGACCTAAAGCAACTAAGGAAAAAAAAAAAAAAAAAAAGGATGACATCAAAACCAAAATTTATAAAAGACGTATGAAAAACTATTTGGTCACTCCTCTTTGATTCTTTCATCAAAATTATAGCTAGAGGCTATAATTTAGAACTACAAGAGCAAATGGAGAACATTAGATGGCTCTACCCAAAACTCCCAGTGACAAGTTAGTAAGCCTTTTCCACTCAGTAAGCCTTCTCCAAAGGATGACTTAAAAAATTACCTAGAAAAAGTATTAAGTGTTTTATCAGATAATAAAGACAGGATTTAAAAAGAGTGAAAGGGTGCCATAAAGAGAGACTTTGAGAAGTGATAGACCCGGAAAAACCACATGACAACAGTAGCTTAAATCTCAGGACTCCTGGACACGTGAGGCCAGCAAGCAGGGACTACTGAGAAATCCCAAAGAGGAAAAAGACTATTTTGTGGTGTTCAGAAAAGAGCAGCTAAACTACCAGCTTCATGAGGAGACCACATCATAGGGATGCTTTCTCTAGCTTCCCGCTGGGGACTTCAGTCAAGGAACTCTGAGTGCCCTGCTCTGAGACCCCTACGAGAGCTCACTGAGAAAGGGGCAAGAAAAGGGGACAGAACCAATGCTTTACTCTTGGGAGGAACTAGGGCTGAAACAGGTGACCCCTGAGAGGAGGTCAAGGAGAAGCACCCGACCACAGAAGCAGCAGAACTGCAACACCCTACTCTAGTTTCAGTCCGCAACAGGGGAAAAAAGAGGGCCTAAGTCCACTCCTGTGTCACCCGAAGTGACAGCACAGCTCCTCAGAGAATGCTACAGAGTCCAAGTGCTAAAACAAGATCGATGCAGCTTCTCTGCACTCAGATGCTTCCCTGGAGCATAATCACTGATCTCCTCCTGCCTGCAGACCCAGTCTTACCCTATACAGGGCCATCAATATGAAAGAGTTTGCTAGATGGATGAAAGAATAGGCAAAAAGAAGATGAAGCTCAGTGAAGTCTGGTAAGAGTGGGAGGGACATGAATGACAGAGCAGGTGGGAAGGAGAGGGGGTGTGTCAAAATGCAATGTTCTATATTTAATTGTAGGGAGAAGACTAATTTAAAAGAAATTACTCACAAAATGGTTCCAAAGAAGCCTTGAGATTAACTACTCCCCTCACTGACCTAGGGCCAAATGAAACTTGGGCTAATCCATCACAGAAATAACACAAGGTGACTCCAGCCCCGGCGCAAGCTCTCCCCCAGGCACCAGGCCCTGTTCCCAGACCACGACCGCAGCACTAGCTGGTTCAGTACTTGGGAAGAACTGAGCTCTCCGCCCCTGGCCTGACCCCTCTATCCCCAGACAGCACATGCCAGGCCTCGTCCTCTCCCCTTTAGAGTAGCATACCATGCCACTTCCAGCTGTTTTTCTCTTAAACACTCAATACGTTGACTCACTGTACCTTTTGGCCCTATAACTTGTCCAAGTGAAATATAAACCAGTTGAATTCTAAAAGGGTATTGATACCAGAGTAGGACAATTATTTAGTAGCAGGTAAAATTCAAACATGAGAAACACAATCTACTAATGACTTCTCACTGCGTCTTCCAAATAACACAGACAAATGCAGGTAAAGCATTATTCTCCAAAAGGTGTTCGGAATGTGTCAGATAATCACAATCCCCCCCCCCGCCCCCCGCCCAATACCAATTCTACCAACAAGGTAAAATGGACGATAAATTTTATTTTCTGCTACATTAACCTTTAGGTGAGTCAGAAATAATTTAGGGAATGGAATACACTGATCTTTAGTTTACTGAGCAGGGCGTGGAAGACAGGACACGATGGGTAAATACCTATTTTAATAAACTTTCAGGTCTACCTCAGTACTTTCAGAGGGTTGTCTAGCCTCGTCTGTATTAAATGTATTGGAGAGAGAATGTGGTATAATTCTGTCACTGTGAGAATCACAGGCAAAGGCAAAAATAGCAGCGAAACCTGCACAACCTCAGTACTTCAACCAAAGAAACTGAAAGAGGCCCTCAAACAAAGGAACCCAACAGAAAAACCACCTTATAATAAAGGTAGGAAATATTCTGGAAAAAGTAAAAGCACCTTCCTTACAAATATGAAGTAGCTTTATGTCACATCCCCAGATCTGGAGAAGCACAAGAACAAAGTCCCATAAAAAGGATAGACAATACACTATGCTGCCTAAGAATACTCATCATTCCACATCCATTTTCAAATCTATATGCTGTCAAAAGTTCCAAAGTAATTACTTTGTGCAGAAGAAAATAAGACAAAAATAAATGTTTGTGGCATGAAGTAAGTTTGGTTTTATCTGTTTGGATCGTCCTTATTTTTCCCTATAACACAGACATATGAGTATGTAATACACAATATCTGACTATCGAATGTCTATTATTAAAATACTTAAAACTCTGCAACATAAAATATTATTTTAGAGAAACCACTGAGCAGTGTAGAATTTTTACTGCAAAATGAGGTTAAAAAGCTTCATGTTAAAGAAATTAAACGTAGTTTATTGCCCAACTTACCTTTGTTAAATGAACTGAGGAAATAAAAAGGGAACATTTAGCAAAAAGACTTTAAACTATGCTCCCATGAAAACAAATATTTAGGGTTGTTTTGAGAATTTTAATAATACTTGTAAAGCACATACAATAGTGACTGGTATATAATAAAACTACAAATAGATATTTAAGTAAACCTTCCTTATTCTTCAAAAGAATTGTTTATGATTATCATGCATTTCCTTTGCATTTATCAGAGTATATTTTCTAAGAATTTGCTCACCAAATCTTGCATTCTGATTTTAGCTGATATTACAAACCTGCATTTCTGAAAATAGTTGCATACAGAAATCCGCCTAGGAGCTAAGTAGCTATGTTTGCACCAAGTGAACCATTTTCAATTATGCAGAAAGAGATATAAAATATGTACACTCAGTTAGATTGTATTTTATGCTCTGAAACTTCCAGATGTATGTTTCACACATCTTACTCCTGATACTAAAAGAGATGCTCAGTGTATCATTCACATATCTGGGACTAAATACTGCGCTCTAACAATGAATCAAAAGACAGGAAACAGCTCTTACTCTCCAAATTAGTTTCCAAATCTTTAAATTGCAGGCAAGCAACCATACTTAGTTTCCATGGTTTAACATATAAGAAAAAATTAAAGAAATCTAATTTTTAGAAAGATATCTAAGTTACTTGAGAGAATACCATATTTTGCCACGTATAATGCGCTCATATGCATAACACACACCCATGTTTTTGTGTGCATTATACACAGGATTATTATACCCATGGTATATAATCATTATACTCATGTATAATCTACATCCTTCTTTTTCCCTCAAAAATGTGGGCAAAAAAGTATGCATTATACCGAGCAAAATACAGTGCTTTTTCTATCAAGCCACATAAACTAACTTCCAAAACTCTACCAAAAACTTATATTCTCAGAAGCTCCCTAATCACATTCATCTACTCTGTATCTTTCCTTATGACCTTTCAACGGCAATAAATAGCACTAACAAGGGGGTGGGGGGGGAGGGGAATCAAGAAAGGCTTGCTTCTCAGATCTAAACAGCAACAAAATCTTCAATATTTTTACTCCACAACTGAATGTATCTTGAAAAAACTAATTTTGAATTTTATTGATTAAAAACAATGATTTCCAAAGTGAAATGTTTGTAGTCATTTTCCTGCTTTATGCCCCTCTTTGAAAACCTGTTTTAATATTCAGACTCTTCAAATGAAGAAACAAAAGGCCATAATGCATATATAATGTAAATATCAAAATATGACTCAAGAAATAATAGCTTTAACAAACAGAAAACTGGAAGCATCGGTTTCCCTAACACAAAAGTCCACGGAAGGGGAAAAAAATATTTAAACTGATCACCATCAAAGGACAAAATGTTGTTTCAAAGAATCCTGAAGACTTTAAAGTAGCAAAGACTAGGAGTGTGATAATGCTCCTGTATTAGAAAATGAATCTTAAGATCATGAAAATGAAAGGAAAAAAATTTTTGACACTCTTTAGAGTTAAGGATACATCCTGCAGAACCATTCCATAACAGACTGTGCTGGCCTAAAAGGATTCTCATAAAACATTTTATTCTCATGTAAATTTGGAATGCACTATATATACATACATTTCAAACAAATTGCTTTGTGAACAGTTTTCTGGGATGATTTGAGTTCAAGAACCAAAGTTCCACTTGTAGACAGGTAACCCTTGAACAACGTGGGGGTTCAGGGTACTGGCCTTCATGCAGTCAAAAATCCAGGCATAACCTTTGACTCCCCCTGAGATATAACTATTAAATAACCTACTGTTGACCACGAGCCTGACCAATAACAAACTATTAACACATATTTGTATCTTATATGTATTATGTACTGTATTCTTACAGTAAAATAAGAAAAAACTGTCCTTAGGAAAATCAAGGGAGAAAATACATGTATTTACTAGAAAAAAAAAATCTATGTATGAGACCTGCACAATTCAAACACATATTGTTCAAGGGTTGGGGGTGGGGGGGTGGGGGGTGGGGGAGTGTTTCTCTTAAAAAAAAAAAAAAAAAGGCATCAAAAGAAACCTTGCAGGCAAGAAGAGAATGGAAAGAGGTATTATTAAAAGTCATTAAAGACAAGGACCTACATCCAAGATTATTCTATCTACCAAAGCTATCACTTAGAATGGAAGGGCAGATAAAGTGCTTCCCAGGTAAGGTAAAGCTAAAGGAATTCATCATCACCAAGCCCTTATCATATGAAATGTTAAAGGGACTTATCTAAGAAAAAGAAGATCAAAAACTATGAACAGTAAAGTGACATCAAACTCACAGCTATCAACAACTGAACCTAAAAAAACAAAAACAAAAACTAGGCAAACAACCAGAACAGGAACAGAATCAGGAAAATGGGGATCAGAGGGGAGGGGCAGGGTGGGGGGGAGAATGGGGAAAAAGGTACAGGGAAGTA